CACAGGTGGGGCAGGGAGGAGATGTGAAAAGAATTAATATGTGTTGTGTACAGTCCCCATGATGACCGTAATCATTATGTACTGCAAACCTTTACTAATAAAATGAAAATACATACAGGATATCTTTAGAAGTAGATCTTTCTTCTTTTAGTTTGAGAGACAGGCTCTCACTACAGAGACCAGGCTGCCCTTATACTTGAGATTCTCCTGCCTCGGCCTTCCATGTGCTGGGATTACTAGCATATACCACTATACTCAATTTAAGGTATGCCTTTCTATGTCCTGACATCAAAATGTTTCCAGAGTGACCAAAGCAGGGATATCTTTAGAAGTAGATCTTTCTTCTTTTAGTTTGAGAGACAGGCTCTCACTACAGAGACCAGGCTGCCCTTATACTTGAGATTCTCCTGCCTCGGCCTTCCATGTGCTGGGATTACTAGCATATAACACTATACTCAATTTAAGGTATGCCTTTCTATGTCCTGACATCAAAATGTTTCCAGAGTGACCAAAGCAGGTTATAGAGGCCAGGGATTTAGCTCAGTGTTTAGTTTGAGAGACAGGCTCTCACTACAGAGACCAGGCTGCCCTTATACTTGAGATTCTCCTGCCTCGGCCTTCCATGTGCTGGGATTACTAGCATATAACACTATACTCAATTTAAGGTATGCCTTTCTATGTCCTGACATCAAAATGTTTCCAGAGTGACCAAAGCAGGTTATAGAGGCCAGGGATTTAGCTCAGTGGTTCCAGCGCCTGCCTTGCAAGCACAAGGGCCCAAGTTCGATCTCCAGTACAAAAAAAAAAAAAGCAGGTTATAGATTAGTATATGCTATGATCCTGTAGATGCAAAAAAAAACCTCTAATTGTATGTTAAATGACTAGAAAAATGCACAACAAATTATTAATATTACAGTTATTTCTCACATACTAATTAAGCACTTACCTCTCTGCATTACAGATTTTTAATAACCTCACCACAAAAAAGGGTCTCTTCATAAATAAAGTAAGCGAAGAAAGAAACAAACTGATAATGAAACAAAGTAGGAAAGTTGTTCAGCAGGAGCAGCTCTCCCTATTCAGGATGTGGAACATCTAGTTCTAAGGTCTATACTCCCTGCACAGGGACCCCAGACTGGACACTTATGCAACAAGCAGGAGTACCAGAGGACTTCATTAGTAACTGTGCGTGTAATGCAGAACAATTTCCTGATTTACGCCAAACACTACAAATGAGAAGGATGGGCAGGAAAGGCCCCGTAACATGCATCATCCCGCCACGATGCTAGGGGGTCCCAGCAGCACAGATTCCCCACGAGACAGTGAAGCCAACATCAGCAACAACAAAAGTTCCCATCCCCATCCCCAGAGCTGACTGCAGGAGAGCACAAAGGAGGAGACGCAGCAGAGACACTTTTTTTGTTTTGTTATTGGGGCTGGGGGGTACTGGGGCTTGAACTCAGGACTTTGCGCTTGTCAGGCAAGTGAGCAGAGACACTTTATTAGGGCTTCTAGAGAAACGTCTTGGGTTTAGAACACTTGTAACACTAAAAGAGAAAGCTAAAGTTTGGTATTGCCCACTGAGGTTAAATTCTAAAATCCTTTAATATTTGCAATAACTGCTGGTGCTAAATTAAAAGATCACCGGTTCTCTTCACTGGTACCTGATTCTGATGGATCCTGGCTGCAGATTCCATCCCCAATGGACCTGTCAAACAGCTATCACTCTTACACACATCCTAGGTCAATTTGCTCAAAACTGGGCAGAGCACGCGTCCTTGGCCAGAACCCTCCCCTCCCTGCCGCAGAGCTCCCCACAGGTAGATCCAAGAAGCAGGCTGCTGGGGTCTGAATCCAGGCGCCACACTGTGAAGCTCTACAACCCTGGAGAGCTGCATCTCCCTGGAACTCAGTCATGCCACTATGAAATAGGGAGAAAAGCAGCTGAGCTGTTGGTGGGGATCCATCCAATAATTAGGTAAAGCACAGAGCTTCGTGCCTAGAAGGATCAGTAACAAAGGCGCCACAGAAAAGCACCCCACTCGCCTCTGCCAGTTTCTAGATTACAGCTATGTTGAAAGTCTCTCGTTTTCTTCGGACCAAGTTGTTTAATCACCACTGTGCACACTATCATTTCTACATTTATACCAGGCACACTGCATACTCTGTACCTACTCAAAGGCCTGCGCCAAGGAAAAAGTGACAAGCAAAGCCCCATGAAACCGGCCCCATCTCAGGACTGGTCCACAGCACTGTGGAGCCCAGGTGACCCTAGGGCAATGCTGAAGACAACCAAGGGCCTTGGCTTGAGCTTAGAGACCCACTTCACTCGGACTGAAATAAATTTCCAAATAAAAATGGCAGAGGAAATATAAAAATACAAGCAAGCTTCAGAGGTATTTTAACATATAATAAAATTAATTCAAAAAAAGATAAGTTGACTTGAAAAGAAATAAAATTTAATGCAGAAATAATCTTTTGGACAATTCATGCTAATAGCAAAGAACTACACTTAAAAGATATCAAGACACATGCCAGGCGTGGTGGCACAGGCCTGTATTCCCAGCACTCGGGAGGCTAAAGCAGGAGGATCACTGTGAGTTCCAGGCCAGCCTAAATTACATAGCAAGACTCTGTCTCAAAAGAAAAAGGAAAAGAAAAAAAAAGAAGTATCAAGAAACCAACATACAGGAATCTATGGGACACAAAGAAATGTACACTCTTTGAACCAGATGTGGTGACACATATCTGTAACCCAGCACTCTGGGAGACTGAAGCAGAAGGATGCCAAGTTCGAGCCCAGCCTGGGGCAACTTAGCAACTTAGTGAGATCTTGTCTCAAAATAAAAAATAATAATAAAAAAGGGCTGAGATGTAGCTCAGTGTGAAGGTCCTAGGTTCCACTCCTGTCCACCAAAAAAATAAAAAATAAGAAGAAGGTACATTCTGTCAATAAATGTCTTTCTAATCTACCAACAGTTCATGCCACTTGGGCTACATTTTAGCTTTCGTGACAGTTTATTTAATTGACATCTATCGTAAAAACACCTCCCATAACCCACATATTGTGGGCACTGCACCGTATGTATGAGGGAACAGACAATACCACCTGAATGGCTATCTTCAGGGAGAGTCAATCTACAATCAAGCCACCCACGTAAACACTAAACTGAATAAATAAAGTTAGTTCCTAGTGACATGAATTCTCTCAAAGTGGGAAAGAGATTCCACACTAGGATAATCCAATGGGCTAGCACCAATTTTCAAAGTTCCTCTATGACAAGACATACAGGACTTCAAGGCTCAATTCTTATCAGTATTTAAAATCATCATGTATCATTAACTATGTCCTCATGAATTAAAATTACAGATTTCTATAATTTTTGAATTTTAAATAAACATGTAATGATAAAAGTTAACCTGACCATACCTCAAAAATCTATTTCAATAACACCTACAAAATGAAATTTCTCCGTTCCTAACAACCACTGAAGTCTTATCTTCCTTCAAAACCACATTTTGTTACCTTTCCTATGGTACTTCTGAGAGTATTAATTAATGTTTTTAGTAAGTATAACCTGATTACTCAAGTATAAATATCCTAGAAATATCAAGGTAACCCAGCAGAAGTTCCACCCAGTGAAGGAATTAATGCTTCAGAAGCAACACTGGAAATGGGTACTATGAGACAGACAGCAGAGTACAGCCAAGCATTTACATGGCACAGCACAGGTAACATTTCCTCTACCTTCATCTCAATGGCATCGCACTTCTGAGGATTTGCATGTGCTAGGCAAGCTCTCTACCACTGAGCTATAGTCCCAGCCCAAAACTTTCATATTCTGATGAGATCTGAAATAAGAGGAATCTGCCAATGCCTTCCAAAAAAAACCCAAAGGGGTTTCAAACTAAATAGAAAATCTTTCATTCCACTGGAATAGCCAAAATGCTCCACAGTAGGAACTTAGCACAGAAAGGTCAGATTCTTCAAGTTCCATACCATTATGTGTTCATCATACTATGTCAAATATAACATTTTCTACAAGTTTAGTGGCTATACCACAAGTGGTGTAATCCCAACCCTTGGGAGCCTGAGGCACAAGAATCATGAGTTTGGCCTGCATGTGCTAGGCAAGCTCTCTACCACTGAGCTATAGTCCCAGCCCAAAACTTTCATATTCTGATGTGATCTGAAATAAGAGGAATCTGCCAATACTTTCCAAAAAAAAAACCCAAAGGGGTTTCAAACTAAATAGAAAATCTTTCATTCCACTGGAATAGCCAAAATGCTCCACAGTAGGAACTTAGCACAGAAAGGTCAGAGTCTTCAAGTTCCATACCATTATGTGTTCATCATACTATGTCAAATATAACATTTTCTACAAGTTTAGTGGTTATACTACAAGTGGTGTTATCCCAACCCTTGGGAGCCTGAGGCACAAGAATCATGAGTTTGAGGCCAGCCTGTGTTACTTAGCAAGTGCAAAGCCAGCCTATCCTACACAGTAAGACACTGTCTCAATACTCCCTCCCCACAGAAAAGAGAAGCTAAATCCGTCCAAAGACTTAATCTTATTCACAGCCATTGGGAGATTTTGGTCAATATTTTGTTTGATCATCTGGATTTGGTTTGGTTTGGTATATATCAGACTGTTTTCATCTGGGGCCTTAACTACCATATCAAAAGTAATGATTTTTTATTGTTTTATTTGTATTATGCATTTCTATTAGTACATGTTTCAGTATGCAATGTTACAATTATCATGGGGATTTGTACATAACACATTTTAATTCTTTTTTGTCTCCTTCCCCTACAATTCCTCCCTGTTCCCTCCAACTCTTGATCTCCTTCCTATTTTAAAAGTTCTGCTTCCCCTTTTGCTTCATTTGTTTTTTTAATCCTTTTTCCTTCCTTCTCTCCTCTCATTCCATCTCTTGCTTCCCTTCCCATTTGAAAAAGATCTCCCAACTTCCTATTATCTGTCCTTTGTTGTGTTTTTTTGGTTTTGGGTTTTTTTTTGCTCTATATTTATATTTTGGGTTTCCCATATAACAGAGACCACATGATATTTAAATTTGTATGTCTGATTTATCTCACTTAATATTATAGTCTCAAGGTGAATCCATTTACCTAGAAATGCCTTAAGTTTATCCTTCTTTGTGGCAGAGTAGTACTCCATTCTGTATAAATACCACATCTTTATCTATCCATCTGTTGATGGACAGAAGGGCTATTTCCAACATCTAGCTACTATAAATTATGCAGCTATTACTATGAGTCTGCATGTATCACTGAAACATGATGTTTAAAATCAAAATGACCAAAGACCTAATGTTAAAACAGAAATGCTTAACCTGCTGGAAGACAAAATATGTAAAACTTTTGAAGACATAGGCATAGACAAGGACTTTCTGAAGAGAATCCCAATGGCACAAGAAATAATACCAAGAATCAACAAATGGGATCCCACCAAATTAAAAAGCTCTGTACATCAAAGAAAACAACCAAAAGAGTAAAGAGACAACCTACAGAATGAAAAAAGATGTTTGCCTACTAACTCTTCCTCAGACAACTAACATCTAGAATACACTTGATGATTTTTAGATATATCCACAAATTCTTCAACAGTCCTCCCTTTCAGAAGCAGAACTTCATTCTCCTCCCCTCTGGTGTAGGCTGAACTTGGCAAGTGGCTTAGAACAAATGAGAAGTTACTGTGGTTTCCATCTTGAAAGTACTCGTCTTAGCTTAGCAGCTCCAGAAGAAACCAGCTGCCACAACATGAAGAGCAATCCAGTGACAAAGCCCCAAGGAGCCCAGCCAAGAGTGCCCCACAGGGAGAGCACTGCCGAGGAGGCTCTTCCAGACAGTCCAATGTGCAGATGACAGCAGTCCCGAGAGACTGAGCCAGAACCACCCGGCCAGGCGTCTTCCAGGGTCCTCACCTTCGTACCGCTGCTGCTGTTCAAGCTGCTAACATTTGTAATCATTTCTTACACAGCAATAAGTAACTAACAATGGTGGCCTTTTAATTCACCTATTTTATTTTAAAATTATTAATTTTCATGTATGTGTGTATGTGTGTGTGGCTTAAACACTGTCACATGAAGAAAAGTTTGCCTAACAAAGACAAACTGTGATTTAAAAACTCATAAGGGCTGGGGATGTAGCTCAGTGGTTCTGCTTCCTGCTTCGCAAACGCAAGGTCCCACGTTCAATCCCTAATAACCCCCCCAAAAAAAACAACAACAAAAAAACTCATACCAGGGCCGGGGATGTAGCTCAGTGGTGCCACTGCCTGCCACACAAGCGCAAGGTCCTGAGTTCAATTCCCAGTAGCAAAAAAACAGCTTATACCACCTACATTATAGAAATACCCATCTATAGCTATAATGAGATAACAAATGTAGAAGTTTCCTTAGCTTCAAACTAAATGTTAGTAGGCAACCACCTACTAATGAAGAACCAAGCACCAACAGTTAAATGAGAACTGAAAGAGCAATAAAGGAGATTCTTGCTCTTCACGGTCAGCTCCTCATCATGGTCACCTACAGACTTGAAAGAAATACAAATACAGACTGAATCTACTCACTTGCCGCTGTTGGCCAGCTGCCTGAACTCCTTCACGGTCATGGCTTTTTTCTGGATGTTGTATTGAGTGAACAGTCCTGACTGCCCTGTGACCATCTGCTGAATCGGTGCTGGAATAAGCAAATTATCAATGTCATCATAGCATTGCCTTGGCTTCCACTCCTTAGGAGGAATCACCTAAAAATGAAATAACAAAATTCATCTTGAAGATATTCTAAGTAGTTATTTAGCACTTATATTTCAATAGAATGCAACTAAAGAATTTCTCAGCATCTCTACGAAGAATGTGTAAAAAAAGCTGCAATAAGGAAATGATTTTTAAACAGCAAAATCTGAACACTCAACGACAGTCAATATTGTACTTATGTTAACTGATTTTTAGTGTTATTAACATTTTTTAATGATAAAATTTAAAGACAAGAAATAATATGCCAAAGTTTAAATAGCTAAAGACTAGTTGAGTGGAAATTCAAACTGAAACAATGTGACACCAGAATTCACATTCGAGCCACTGTTACTGACTTTCCTCTAAGAAGTTCATGTAGTGAATTTTATCTAAAATAACTCTTGACATTTACATTAAAGCAAATATCTATTCAGTGAATATTATTTTTCTTTATACACTTCCTACACAACAGGGCAAACAGCATACTGGAGTGCTGATAAATGTTTGAAAGCCGGTTTCTGAGAAGATGGGTGAAACCCTGCAGCTTTGGCCCATTTCCATGGTGCACCTACTCCCACGCTGGCCGATGTGAACCTGCCAACCACTCACCATGAAGCTGGGAAGAGATGTGTATTGTGGGCTCTCCATGCCAATATGAGGGACTTACCATGCCACTGTTTCCACAGTATTTAAACACTCAATTGCTAACAGTGAAAAGATGCCAAGATAGTAGTCAAAAATACTCACCTGATTTAAAATAAAAAGGATAAAGGCTGGAAGTAAGTCACGATTTATGGCTCAAATGTTTCCAACCTAGAAGCTGCTTGGCTTTTGCTAAGACAAATTTTTAGAAAATAATTTTTGAAAAATATAAAATTCACACAGAAAATATAAGTGACAAATATATACTATGTGAATTATTAGAAAGAAAATACAAGAGTATCTACTGCCCAGGTATAAAAGGCTTTCCAAAAGCCTTCCAAGTACCATTTTCCAAACACATCCCTCTTGTCCAGAGACAACCACTATCACTGTGTTTAAGGCCATCAATTTCTTACTGGGTTTTGGTTTTGTGTGTGGGTATGCACCTCTATTTAAAAAAATTGTTAAATGTGTAAACATGTAATCATATATTCTTTAAAGTTTGTGTTTCCTTCAGTATCTTGTGAGACTTAAATGTGATGAACCACATATAGCTGAAGTTCATGGATTTGCATTCCTATTCAGTATTCCCTCACATAAATATAAATATTAATCTTCCCATAAATTGATGACCTTTGGTTTATTCTAATTTATTGTTGCAAATAATGCTACTGATATTCCTGTACACATATGGTTAGCATGTACATAGGGTTCTCAAAAATAAACACAAACACACAGACACGACTAAAAATGAAATTACGGGGGCAAAAGATACATGTAATTCAAATGTAATAGGTAATACAAACTTTTGCCAAAGTGGCTATACCAATTCACAACTCCACCAGCAACATATCAGAGCACCAATTCCTCCACATCTTCAGCATCACTTTGTTCTTTCCATCATTTTAATTTTAGCCTTTCTGCTAAATGTATAATTGTACCCAAGTAGAGATTTTATTTTTGTGTACCTAAAGATATCTGTTCACATAGGGAGGGGTGGAGGGGTTGAAGGGAGGGAAGGAGAAAGGGGGAAAAATAAGAACCAAGACATATTATGTAAAGGTATAAATTTCCAATGATGAATGTCATTATATTGTATACTTAAAGTGTACCAATAAAATTTTTTAAAAAAGAAACCTGTTCACATGTCACTGACTCTATTGACATCCTCTTTGTGAAGTAATTACACAAATGTCTTGACTGTTTTACTACTGCATTCTTGTTGTTTTTTTCTTGTGAATGAGAGGGGTCTTTTACATAATCTGAATATTCCTCAACTTGTGTATATATAAATATACAGAAAGAGAGAACACATGGGAGTGCAAAATTAATTGGTCCTATCCTGTCATCTACCCTATAGCCTTCCGTTTTGTTTAAAAGAGAAAAAGATCTATGTTGCGATATAACATGCACTTATAAAATGTTCACAGAAGGTATGTAATCCTTCACCACTGTATAAATTTATTGGGAATAAAGTCACTCATCGCCTAGTTGTGATTATGCCTCCTAAAATGAACTGTGAACAGTTATGCTCTATAACAAATGTGTCACAGACTTTCAAAAATCATTGCTATGATGACCTAAAACACATATAAGCACAAATATAAGCACATTTATATTCTGAAATGTCCCTTTACATTATATGTAGAATACAACTGTACATGGAGAAAAACATTCACTAAGCTATTTTGTATATTCCTGTCAGGTAGCATTCTTCCTGACTGAAAGTAACAGCTTTGGTGGTGGTCTGCAACACAGATCTGGGATCCTGAACACAATAATCTGTGTATATGTGTTGAAAATCATGAAATAACTTATAAAGGCAAGCTATCAGAATAACAGCAGATTTCTCCACACAACCCTAAAAGATACAAGAGCTTGGAGTGAAATTTTTCATTCCATAAAAGAAAATAATTGCCAGCCCAGATTACTATATCTTACAGAATTATTCTTCAAAATTGATGAGAGAAATAAAGACCTCCCACATCAAAATAGAAACTAAAGAAATTCATGACAACCAAGTCATCACTGCAGAAAATACTCAGAGAAATCCTAAACAAAAACAACAAGGTCAGCACCATCAGGGAGACCAAAGGAAAAATAACATGTAATGCAAGAGTAGTTAAACAAAAGGAGTCAAGCACTGAAAAAAAAATGTACAACAACAGAACTCAGTAATTTCCTTTCAATAATAACAATCAATGTAATGAAATTAGCTCTCTAATCAAAAGACACAGACTGCCAGACTGCATCAAAGCACATAACATGTGCTCGCTTCAGCAGCACATATACTAAAAAACTATAACACAACTATATGTTGCCTACAAGAGACTAAATTCATCCACAAAGAAACTCAAGGAGTGAAAATAAAATGATAAAAAAATAAAAAAATAGTGCATGCGGCTGGATGCTATAAAAGCAAGTAGAAGTAGCTATTCTAATTTCTGACCAAGTTGACCAAACTAAAACTGGTCAGAAGAGACAAAAAAGGTCACTTCATATTGGTTAAAAAAAAATAATTCACTAAAAGACAACAATTTTAAATATACATTCACCAAATGTTGGTGCACACAATTTCATAAAACAAAAATTACCTGACGTGATAGAAACTGACACAACAGTGGGGAGTTTTAGTAACCTTTTCTAACAATTGTCAATCAGGCCTCCCAAAAAATTAAAAATAAAAGAAGCACCAGAGTTAAGATCCTATAAAAGAACAAATGGATTTAACTAGTATCTATAGAATATTCCATCTAACAACACCAGTATCTTCTCAGCAGCCCCACTGAACTTTCTCCACAACATACCATATTTTAGGCTATAAAATATCTTTAAATACAAAACAACTGAAATAATGTCTTGTATCCTCTCAGATCATAATGGAATAAAACTATAAATTAACAACAAAAGAAGTCACAGAAACCACACAAACAAAGGGAGATTAAATATGTAATACATTCTTAAACAATGAATGGGTTACAAAAAGTAGAGGAAAGAAATTTTTAAATCCCTGTAATTAAGTAACAGTGTCAGGGCCACATACCGGATCCTGAGGGACACAATAAAAGCAGTTCTAAGAGGGAGGTTTACAGCAATGAGTGCCCACATTAGAAAACAGAAAAATCCCAAGTAAATAATGTAATGATACGTCTCAAGGCACAAGAAAAATAAGACCAATGCAAATCTAAAATTTGTAGAAGGAATGAAATTATGAAGATCAGAGATGAAATTAAGGCAAAAAAAACTACAAACAATTAATGAACCCATCAAAGAACAGGTTCTTTAGGAGCACGTGCTGCCACATGAACACACCTCAGGAGGTTCCCCAGAAGTGATGACGAGCCTTTTAGAAAACGAGGGCCAAACTGCAACCTCAAACCTCAAACTTATTTATTGCTAAGTGTCAACACTGTGATTAAACCTGACTACTGAGGTTTTAGTTTAGAAAAAACAACCCTACATTAACATCTTTTGTCTTAAAAGAAAAACACAGTGACATGTGTGCCACAGGTTCACCACCACTGGTCCCCACCACAGAACCACTGGCAAAGCAGATCTCAAAAAAACCGTTACTGGCTAATTGTGGGCATTTCTGAAGTGTATTTTTTTGTTTAATAAGATGAACACAAGCCAAGGTTTCAGACAAATAATAAGCAAGCAATCTCCCTTCATCTTGAAATCTTACTGTAATCCACGAACAGTCTGGTATTTATGGATTCTGAGAGCAAGATCAACAAAAACAGATGAATAGCCAAAACTAGGAATCTGGCCAATGATCAGAGCCCAGACTGAAGAGATCACAGTATCATGTAAGAATGAAATTTCAACAACAGTGTGAATGGATTTTGGAATATTTAAGACAAAATGTAAATTTAATTCGGAGGTCATATTCGTTGAGCTACGAAAAAGTTGACTCAATGTATGTTTATTGTATTACAGAAGAAATTTTGTTTATACTGTAGAATATACTAAACTGATACTCCTTAAAAACTCAAAAAAGTTGGTTCTTTGAAAAGATAAACAAGTACAATAAACCTCTAGTTAAACTTACCAAAAGAAGAAAAGACTCACATCAGTGCAATTAGAAATGAAAAAGGTGGAATTATAGGATGCTGAAAGAGAAAGGACTATAAAAAATTTTTTTAACTTCTATTTCAATAAATTGGAGAATCTGAAAGAAATGGGTAAATTCCTAGACACATATGACTTGCCAAATTTGAACCAAGAATATATAAACACTTTGACTAGAGCAATAACTGAGGCAATAAAACTACCATAGCCCTTTACATAGAAGACCCAAACAACTTCACCACAAGTTTCTTAAAGCTGATACATTCAGAAAAATGGCAAGATACAAAATCAATACACAAACATCAATAGCAGCCAGGCATGGTGGCACACACCTATAATCAATCCCAGCACTCAGGAGGCTGAGGCAGGAGTATCGCCATGAGTTCAAGGCAGCCCAGGTTATATTGTGAGCTCAGGGCCAGTTATGAGCTACATAGTGAGGTGCTATAAGAAAAAGAAAAGAAAAGAACAAAAAATAGCATTCCTATACCAATAATGAACTCACTAAGAAAGAGATCAGAAAAACAACCACATTTACAGAATATTCCAAAAAATTAACCAAGGAGGTAAAAGACTTCTATAATGAGCCAGGGATTTATCTCAGTGACACTGACCCTGCTTCACAAGTGCAAGGTCCCGAGTTCGATCCCCAGTACCAAAAAAAAAAAAAAAAAAAACTTCTATAATGAAGACTACAGAACTCTGAAGAAAGAGATCAAAGAGGACATTCACTAATGTAAACGTACCCTTTGTCTCTGGATAGGTAGAACTAATATCATCAAAATGGTCATACTGCCAAAAGTGATACATACACTTAATGCCAAGTCCAATCAAAATAGCAACATTCTTCTCAGAACTAAAATTTCTGAGAAATTCTAAAATTTATGAAAAACAAGAGACCCAGAGCTAGCCCAAGCAATCCTTATCAAAAAGAGCAAAGTGGGAGGTATTACCATCCTAGATTTCAAGGCATGCTATGATACTACAGTAATAAAAATAGCATGGTACTAGCACAAAAATATGTAGATCAATGGAATACAAGACACAGCAACTACCACATGTACCTCTAGTCATCTGATCTTTGCCAAATGGCCTAAATGCATACACTGGAGAAGATAGCCTACTTAACAAATAGCCCTGTGAAGACTGGTTATCCATATGCAGAATGAAATTAGACCCATATTTCTCACCTGTACTAGAATCACATTAAAATGGATCAAAGACCTAGACACAGAAACACTGAAACTGCGGGAAGAAAAATAGGAAGACACAGTCATAAGCAAAGAATTTCTGGACAGAATTCCAATAGCACAAGAAATAATACCAAGAATCAACAAATGGGATTGAATTAAATTGAAAATCTTCTGCACAACAAAGGAAATAATCGACAGACTAAAAAGACAATCTACAGAAAGGGGAAGTATTTTTGCTGACCACCACTCTGATAGAGGACTAACAGCTATAATAAAGAAATAAAAATAAGGGCCAGGGATTTGGCCTGCCTCATAAGCACAAGGTCCCAAGTTCAATCCCCTGTACCAAAAAAAAAAAAAAAAAAAAAAAAAAAAAAAAAAAAACTAAAAAAAATGGG